ATTTAAATAAAATCTGATTTTATTTAAAATAAAATATATCAAATATTGATTATTTTATGCTAAAATGTTTAGTATAAATAGGTGCAAAATGTTTTCACATTAATTGCTAATTTTTGAGCAAAATTCTTCCAAGAGAAAATTCATTCAAAGAGTTGAGTGATAATACAAGAAAGTGTTCTTGAAAAATTTCCTTATAAATATATATTCTATACTTCTTGAAAAACCGAGTAGTTTCTACTAGCGAAGAAACTATAGTCGGAACCAAAGTTCAAAAGGTGGATACGATTAGAGGGAAGACATTTGGATTCCTAAAGTGAGTAACCACAAGAATTGATCGTTACCAAACTGGGAATTGATTTCCTCATACATCGTCGGTTTTGAAGGAGTTCAAGAACAAAGGTAATTTTTATAAATTATATATCAAATCAAAATTAGTAAAAGTTACTAAATTTTAAATGATGCTTATTTGTTATCTCATTATACTTATGTACGAAATAAGTATTTATAAGATAAATACTTATAAAATTTTAAATTTCGCTGCAAACTCTGTTTCGTACAGTATATCGAACCCAACACGTTTGTCTTTCGTGGAAAACGTAGAGTTCTAAGTAGTTTGGAGTATCCCTTGGCAGTTTGTTCAGGTTTGGAGTCGATTTGATGTTTATATTACGAGGTACGATTTTTATAAACCAAACTAGCTGCTGAATCGTATTAAATTTATGATAAATCATGTACATGTCCAAGTGCTTTCTAATTTTATATGTGAAGTCCTCTTGTGATTATATATGTTGTGTAAAACTTCCAAGTCGAAACTCCTCCTGTAGCCTTGTCAAATGTCGATTTTGATTTCTGGGCAGAAACTTCTTAAAATCATATAAAATCGAGTTGTGATGCAAAATTTCTGAAATTTTAATATGTTGTACCTCTGCTATGTTTTGTCATGGTATGTAAGTTTCGGAATTTTTGGAATTCTTTTCATAGGGTAATTGTTTATTTTGAATTCTGGGAAGAAACTTGTTTTAATTTTGTAAAACCGGTTACTTGCTGTAAATTGCTGAAAATTGGTGTGCATACTCCTGTTATGTTGTATTATGTGGCATAAAAGTTCCAGAATTTATATAGTCATTACGATAGGTTTCTAAAGAAAATGAGGTTTCTGCTGAATCTTTCAAAAATTATCATAAATTGTGTGTTCTGATATTTAGCTGCATTTTTTATATGTATACTCCTCGAGCTGCAGTTCAATATGTTAAATTTGCATGATCAATTTCACTCCGTAGTCAGCCTTTTAGTTAAAATTTCTTTCAACTGAAATTTTGTTTTAATTTTATAAAATTTGGTGTTTTGAGTTTATGGCTGAAACTTAGTGATTATATGTGATATTATATGCTCTATTATGTGGTAAAATTATAGCTTAATATCCTGAGCATAACTCCTAAACCATTAGTAGGTTCGTTTTTGTAGCCTTTGTAGTCGTTTTTTCGAACTGTTTGATTTCCTGTCAACCCGATAAAAGTTTTGCATGTTATATGTGATCTATTTGTATTAATTGTGATGTTTTGAGTCTGGTAGTCAATTCCAAGTACATAACTCTATTAAAGAATCTACTAGTCACTCAGTCGATATAATTTCGGCTAAGTATGTGTTGCTTTGTGTGTTGTTTTGTGCTGGATAGTCTGTTGATAGGACTATCGTAACTGTTGTAGGTTCGTCGAGCTGAACTTTTGCTATAATTCCTTCAACTACCTGTGTTTGGCTATATTCCGGCATCTAGGTGAGTTTTATTTAAAATTCGCTATGCTATAATTGAAGTAAGATCTTTATACTGAGTGTCCTAAGAATGTATAGGTGAGTCATGAGACAGTGCCTAGTGGTAGGTGATCTCCAACCTTGTGATAGGTAGACTGATTTTAGCCTAGTCGATGGGCCGTGACTGTTGATGTTGAACCTCGACACGACTGTACTCCCGCAGACGAGTTTGGGCTTACCCCTGGCGGCTTATGATAGGTGTGCACATGAGTATAGTGATGAGTATGAGTGTGGCGTGTTATGTCTTTTGACCATGTACTTGCATATGACTCTAGTATAAGTATCATATCATTATTATGTGCATAGTGGTGAGCACCTCGGTTTCAATTGTGCGCACTCCCATATGACTCTAGTATAAGTATCATATCAATATTATGGGCATAGTGGTGAGCACCTCGGTTTCAATTGTGCTCACTCTCACATGCTCTTCATGGATGCAGGTTAAGCAGGTGATGTACATGATGAGAATAAAGACGAGTGGATGGTCAACTTTATTATTGCTTTCATCTGCTTCCACATGCTATGAACTTTATGTTATGTTTATTAGACATTGTTGAACCATGAGATTGTTATTTTCCCCTATGCGTTTGGGATTGGTTGAACTGCTTGAACCATGTGGTTAGTTTTCAGTTTTGGATTATGTTGACAATTCTATTTGATTCGATATGTTGAAATCTAGTCTTGGAACTTGAATTGTGTTGATCTCGTTCCTTTTTTTGTTGATTATGCGTCGAAATTGTGAAATGTTTTTGAGTAGCGCCAAATGTTATATTAAATCGATAAATGATTTCGAAATTTTAAAACGAGATTTTTGGATAAGTCCAGAATTGTTTTAAAAATATTTTGGGGCGTTACAAAGTTGATGAGAGAGAATGTTAAATGGATGGTATTTACCTAAAGATCCCACTTTTTCTAGTCTAGATAAAACAAAAAAAAGTGTCCTAATGAGAGGGAAAAAAAAAAAAAATCTTGCTGATAGCGAGTAGAAAAAAAAAAAAAAGTATATCTAGTGTCAAATAGTAAACCTATAATAGCTTTCGTTCTAGCAACAAACGAAGAACAGCACACGCGCAAGGATGATGGTAAGAATATAGTATCCCCAAGAGAGAAGAAGGTAGAAGGAAGAGGAAATATTTGTCAAGGCATGCTTTGTCGGCCATTACATCTTCACTGGAAGGAATAGGGAGAGATTTCTTTCATTTTCATTTGGGTTCACTTTTTGATTTGTTTCAGTTGCTTCGTTTGTTTTATATGTATTTTTTGTCATTGTTCATCTCAAATCTTATGGTTCAATTGTTTTCATGGGGCTTAAGGGATGCAGATTTTCAGCATTTATTTTTATCTCCTTTATCTTTTAGTATGTAGATTTTGTAGTTTCTTACATTTTCATTGGTTATCATATGCAGCATTTACCAATTATTGGAAATCTAATCTGTTGGCTGCCTTTCAAATCATGAGTAAGGCACTATTTGATGGTGAAATAGAAGTCCTGAGATGGCTATCAAGAAATTCCTTTTAGCAGAATTGAAAGGAATATTAACTTTGTCTTGTTGGTCTGTCTTTTATAATTTTGACCAACTTAGGGTGGCCATTAGGAGCATGATGTTTTCTTGTGTGGTTGAGTTGAGAAATGGTTTTTTCTGGGGATGCATAGGGATTTTAGTGCCCCTCTTGGTTTTGTTAATTCGGCCTTCGATAGCTTTGTGTCATGATGGAATATATCTCCTGGAGTTGAAGAAAACAATTCTCGACCCCTTTAATATTCTCGCGAATTGGAGCCCATATGACGAGACCCCCTGCAATTGGACGGGCGTGAATTGCACGTTGGATAACTTTGATCATAGCCCTGTTGTCCGATCGCTCAATTTGAGCTCCCAAAATCTCTCGGGCACACTAAACTCCTGGATTGGTAGTTTGGCCTACTTAACTTTTCTTGATCTTTCGTTTAACGAGTTCACAGGCAGTTTCCCAAAAGAGACGGGCAGTTGCTCGTTGTTGGAGATTCTCAAAGCTAATAGTAACGAGTTCAGTGGTGAAATCCCGGCTAGCTTGGGCTATCTCTCTCGTCTGACAAGCCTCAACATATGTAACAACCAGCTTTCAGGCCCGATCCCGGAGGAGTTTGGAAAACTAGCCTCTTTGGTTGAGTTTGTGGGGGTACACGAATGAGCTCACTGGCCCACTGCCTCGTTCTTTCTACAATCTAACAAACTTGATGATTTTCCGGGCAGGCCAGAATGCAATTTCTGGAAATTTACTTGCCTACATAGAGAATTGCAAGAGTCTTCAAGTTCTTGGCCTTGCACAAAATTGGATAGGCGGTAACATACCGAAAGAGCTTGGCAAGCTTGAGAAATTAACCGACCTCATCCTTTGGGACAATCAGTTCTCGGGAATTATACCAAAGGAGATTGGGAATTGCACGAGCCTTCAGACTCTTGCATTGTACCAAAACAATCTCATTGGGCACATTCCTTCCGAGCTGGGTAAACTGAGGTACCTTAGAAAGCTATATCTGTATCGGAATGGATTGAATGAGACCATACCGAGGGAAATTGGGAATCTCAGCCTCGCACTGGAAATCGATTTGTCGGAAAACTATTTATCAGGAGAAATCCCAACTGATTTGTCCAGGATAAAAGGCCTCTATCTGCTGCACCTCTTTCAGAACGAGCTTACGGGCCTTATCCCACCCGAGCTCAGTAGCCTGAGGAATTTCTCTATGCTCATCCTGTCGATTAACTACCTGAAGGGTCCTATCCCGTATGGTTTTCAGCACCTTCCTATTATATATGAGCTGTGGCTTTTTGATAATAATCTGAGTGGCATAATTCCTCAGGGCCTTGGGCTTCGCAGTCGACTTTCTGTGGTTGATTTTTCGGAAAACCATCTCATGGGGGAAATCTCTCCTCACCTTTGCCGGCATTCGGGCCTGGTGTCGTATAATCTAGCCTCTAATCATTTGTACGGGAACATCCCATTTGGCATCGTGAACTGTGGTTGTTTGGTGCAATTACTACTCGGCAGTAACATGCTGGCTGGAAATTTCCCTTTTGACATATGCAAAAATCTAACTGCACTGGAATTGGCTCAGAACAGGTTCAGTGGGCCCGTACCACGAAAAATTGGGGACTGCCAGAAACTGCAGAGGCTTGACCTCTCAGGGATCTTTTTCATGTCTGAACTGCCTAAGGAGATCGGGAATCTGTTCCAGCTCGTGGCTTTCAATGTCTCTTCGAATTTTTTCAAAGGCCGGATACCGCCAGAGATTGTCAACTGCCGGGCCCTACAGAGGCTAGACCTGAGCGAGAATAGCTTCACCCATGCTATACCGGTGGAGTTGGGGACTCTTCCTGTGCTCGAAATTCTCATTTAATCCGAAAATATGCTTTCGGGGAATTTACCTAAAGAACTAGGCAACCTGTCTCATCTCACTGAGCTTCAGATGGGCGGGAACTTGTTATCTGGCGGAATCCCGAGTGAGCTGGGCAATCTCACGAGCCTGCAAATAGTAATGAACCTCAGCTATAACAATTTATCGGGCAGTATACCGCCCGAGCTGGGCAATTTAGTCCTTTTGGAGTACCTTTTTCTGAACAACAATGAGTTGAGCGGCGAGATCCCAAGGACGTTTGGGAATTTATCGAGTCTCCTAGGCTGCAATTTGTCGTCCAATCGTCTAACAGGCCCACTCTCATCCGCACAGTTGTTCCAGAGCATGAGTCGCAGCAGCTTTACAGGCAACATTGGCCTGTGTGGTGGGACCCTTGGTAACTGCACTTGTTTATCATCGATTCCCTGGGAATTGAAGAAAGCGGAGCTCCCTCGGAGGAAAATTATTACTGTTGTCTCGGCTGTGATTGGTGGGGTCTCGCTCATCCTGATCGTTGTCATCCTGCACCACATGAGAACCCTCCATGTCGATCGTTACTCCAAGGACATGATGTTGTCTTTGGAGTCGGACATTTATTTCCCGCCCAAGGAGGGGTTCAGTTTGAAGGATTTGGTGGAAGCCACGGACAATTTTCAGGAGAGGTACGTGATCGGGAGGGGGGGCCGTAGGGAGTGTGTACAAGGCAGTTTTACCCTCTGCACAGACGACAGTGGCTGTGAAGAAGCTGGCATCCAACTGGGATGGCGGCAGGGTCAGGAGCAGCTTCCGAGCTGAGATTTTGATGCTCGGAAAAATCCGGCACCGCAACATTGTGAAGCTCTATGGTTTCTGGTACCATGGAGGGTCAAAGCTGCTGGTGTATGAGTACATGGCGGGGGGTAGCCTGGGAGAGGTGCTTCATGGTCACTGTCACGGTCACGGGGGGTTATTGGATTGGGCAGTGAGGTTCGGGATTGCGCTTGGGGCGGCCGAGGGGCTTGCATACTTGCACCATGACTGCCGGCCCAGGATCATTCACACCGTAATATAAAGTCGAATAATATACTGCTTGATCACAAGTTTGAAGCGCACGTTGGGGATTTTGGGTTGGCAAAGCTCATTGATCTGCCACACTATAACTCAATGTCTGCGGTTGCAGGATCCTACGGTTACATACCCCCTTGTAACCATCTTTTTTTTCTTCTCTTGTTAGTATCTATTCATATTCCTGAAGAACAGGCAGTAAACATTGCATCACTATATTATAAACATTGTTGATTTCAGAATATGCCTACACCATGAAAGTGACTGAAAAATGCGACATATACAGTTACGGGGTGGTCCTCCTGGAGCTGGTGACCGGGAAAACCCCCGAGCAGCCCCTGGAAGAGGGAGGGATTCTGGTCACGTGGGTGCGAAATTACATCCTTGCCCACCCACTCTCGTCCGATATACTCGACCCCCGTTTAGACCTCAAAGATGAAGCCGCTGTCAATCACATGATCACTGTCCTCAAAATCGCCCTCCTCTGCACGGCCTCATCTCCATTTTCCCGCCCCTCCATGCGAGAGGTCGTGCTAGTGCTTATGGAGTCCAGTCAGCGAGCCGAATAATTACTTTTTACCAAAGGTAAGGTTATGTTTCATCTTTCATGAGTGTACTTAATTTTTTATTTTTTTTATTTTTTATTTTTATTTTTTTTTTAAGTTTTTGGTTTAGGATCTTGTGAAATTTCTTGTTATTATATAAATAAATCACTCGTTATATCAAACTATAGGAATTTTGTAATGTAAATTGCCTTCCAAAAATTTAGTTAGTTTTACTCTTTGATGATCGTGATTGCCCGCAGAACATCTACAACGGCTATGTTTGGTAAATGAATAAGCTAGCTTATAGCTTATTTGATAAATTAAATAAATAATATAATATATATTAGAAGTGGTCTACAATGACTTCTAAATCTAGATAATAACATTTTTCATGCTACATAGGATTATTTGTGACATATGGCAACAAAATAGAGTAATGAAAAGACCATTGGATATACTCTTATATCTACGATTGCTTATCCTTTTGTCCTTTTTTAGCAAGTCACTGGTGGCGATAACATGGGGTGTATGCGATGAATTAGCTGCTACATTCGCAAATTTTGGAATTTCTTATTTATGTGTGTTGTAAAGGAGGAAATTAAATATAACAAGGAAATTTATTTTGAGTATCTATCATAGATCGAATTACTCAACAACTAATTGTTTTTAAATTTAAATTGCTAACTCTTATCCCAAAACTATACCACATATTCACATAAATCGCACTTCTCTTGGTCTTCATTTTTTTTTTTGTTTTTTTT